TCGCCAGAAGAAAGTGTAGTTGCCCTTTCCAAAATTGGGAAGGCGCCGATTGAAAGGGCTGTCAAAACCGGCCCCGACAAGGACACTAAAATACCTAAGACAGTACCCAAAGTATCATTAGCAAGTACTAGCAATGTTGAGGAGTCAAATCCTAAAAGCGAGGAGGAAATCACTCACCCGCCAGAAGACAGAACAGCAGTGCTCTCCAGAATTGGGAATGTGTCTATTAAAAATACTGCTATTCATATGCCTGATAAGGACACCGCAGTGCCATCAACAGTACCCACTGCATTAATAGCCACTTCAGGCTATCCGGAGGAGTCAAATCCAAAGAGCGAGGAGGTGACCACCAACTCGCTGGAAGACAGTTTAATGGATGACCATGATTGAGGTTATCCAAATAAACCTCCATCGGAGCGAGACAGCTACCAACGCTCTGATGGCTAAAATCAACACAGGTAAAATATATATATCTTTAATCCAGGAACCTTGGACGATTCGCAACAAGGTTTCTGGATTAAATCACGTAAATGTCCAACTTTTCTACGCTGATACAGGATCTCGCCCGAGAACATGTATCTTATGTCACAAGAACTTATGTTTTCTCCTCTCAACAGGATTATCAACATCGGATGCAACGGTGCTGAAGCAAGGTCGTGGCAACATATTCCTTGCATCTATTTACCTGCCTTTCGATTCTCCGACACTACCACCAACGTCGGATCTGATGAAACTGGTTGAAGAGGCACAAAGAAAAAATAAGAAAATTGTAATAGGTTGTGATGCCAACTCGCACCATGTAGCTTGGGGTAGTACAAACACCAATCGCAGGGGACAAGCCCTCATGGATTTCCTTAATACTAAAGACTTGATAACATTGAACTTAGGTAATAAAGCTACCTTCGTCAATAGAATCAGAGAAGAAGTATTAGATATAACTATATGTTCAGAAGAGCTTATAAACGAAATTCAGGATTGGAGAGTTTCGGATGAGCACTCCTTTTCTGATCATCGGTACATAAGATTCAAAATACTAAGGCCACCACCAAAGCCGATAAAGTTTCGGAATAAGTCTAAATGGAATTTTCCCGGCACTTTTGCAGATGGAGGCGGGACTGGTTTCCGTACATCTGTCACAGATATTCACTGCATGCTTAAAATTGGCATATACCCCAGTTAAATGGCAGGATGCAAGGGTAATATTTATACCCAAACCAGGGAAACCTAGCTATGCGACACCTAAGTCCTATCGACCGATAAGTACGTCCTTCCTACTTAAAACCTTGGAACGGATAGTCGATAGCATGGTTAAAAGCAGCATACCATACAAAGACCTTAAATATAAGCAGCATGCTTATGTAAAGGGACGATCGGTGGAAACCGCTTTAAATGAAGTTGTCCACTACATAGGTGAATCTTTCGATAGCAAACTGTATACACTGGCGGTATGCATTGACATCGAAGGCGCTTTCAATTACGTGCACACTAATACCCTTATCCAATCCCTAGACCAGTTTTATGTTGACCGGGTGCTCCGTAACTGGATCAACTACATGCTAAGGAACAGATGGATAAGCTGCGAGATGTACGATATAACTATCAGGAAAAAGGTATTTCGCGGTATACCCCAGGGTGGCATTTTGTCACCTTTACTCTGGGTTACCACGATTAATAGCCTCCTAAGGACCCTAACCGAGAAAGGACTTAGACCTGTCTGCTATGCAGACGATGTCGTAATACTTTTAAAGGGAAAGGATCCAAATTACTTGTGTAGAAGAGCTGAGGAGGCTCTGAATACGGCCTTGAGCTGGGCTCAACCGAGAGGCCTCAATGTTAACCCGGCGAAGACGGAAATCTGTCTTTTCACAAGAAAGACAAAAATTTCTACGTATACTGAACCATGCTTCCTGGGCAAGAAGATACCGGTGACAGACAAAGTTAAGTACTTAGGTGTAATACTTGACCGGAAATTAAAATAGAGACACCACATAGAGGATAGGATCAACAAGGCACATCGGTGCTGGGCGATATGTAGGAGAACCATAGGCATGAAATGGGGTCTTAGTCCTACTATGACAAATTGGCTTTATAAAAGTGTAATTAGACCAATTCTAGATTATGCTTCAATAATCTGGTGGACTGCTTTGGACAAAAAGTGTAATATCAAACTACTACAGGGAGTTCAGCGTACATGCTGCTTGGGTATAAGTGGTGCCATGTATACTACTTCAACCAAGGCTCTGGAAACGTTGCTAGATATTCCACCCATTGAAACATATATAAGATATGAGGCGGCGCTTACAGCCGAACGGCTCTTTACTTTAGGCGAACTGGCCAAAAACGGTTATAGGACACGTCATCAATGTATACTGGACACATTGGAAGGTTATACACATTCATCGGACGTGCCTGATCGCATACCAGACACTGAATATGTCGGAAACTTTGAAACGCTAATCCCAGATAGAATGTCTTGGTCAAGCGGAACATTAGAGCAAATACCAGTAGGAATCCGTTGCTACACGGATGGCTCTAAATTAGGGGACAAAGTGGGCCTGGGGTTCTATATTGAAGACCCAGAAACAGAAATATACCACCGTTTACCTAATCATAACACAAGCTTCCAGGCAGAAGTACGAGCAATAACGGAATGTGTAAATTGGATTAGAATAAATATGGCGCCCACAGGGCTTAATATATTTACCGACAGCCAGAAGGCAATTTGTGCGATATCAGGTGATAGAATTAAATCTAAGACCGTATTGGATTGTAAGAAAGCTTTAACTGAATACTCTCCCAGAGGTAAGGTTCACATTATATGGGTACCAGGCCACTCGGGAGTAGTCGGCAACGAAAGGGCGAATGTAATAGCTTTAAAGGGAAGGGAGCTCGATGTAGTTAACCTGACAAACGCAAAACCATTCGACGCAACAAAAGCTGAATTAAAAATATGGATGAGAGAATCCCATAAGGCCTCTTGGAATAATGAAACGGTGGGTAGAACCACAAAGATTCTATGGGGTGACCCTGATGAGAGCAAGACGAGAAATCTTCTCAAAATGAGCAAGTCTGAGGTTAGTATGATGGTACGTATTCTGAGTGGACACACAGGATTACGAGCACATCTATACAAAATTGGACGTGCGGATTCAGACGAATGTAGAGCATGTGGAGAGGACAGTGAAACTCTGAAGCACTTTCTTTGCCATTGTCAGGCATTCGTCGAAGTTAGATCCAAGTATCTTGGAAGTGATGTTATTCCGGAAATAACATTCTTAACCAACACCGATTGGAAGATTCTTAGGAATTACGTCCAGGAAACTGAGTTTCTGAACATGGAAAAATAATACATTCAGTGAACAATTTTTTTTTTTGTCTTTCTTGAATTGGAGCGCACAACAGGCCCGAAAGTGGCCTAGGTGTATTTCTTCGGATTTTATGTAGTATACATCCTCCTATCAACCTAACCTAAGTGATTTTCTGAAGGGAATCTTGTATGGGACCGACCGCACCCATATTATGAACCAATCGTGAAAAAATCTTGAAATAGAATTTTTGTATACAAAACTAATATTTGTGACAAATTTTGTATCAATAGCTTTATTTGGTAATGAGTAAAATCGTAAAACAATTTTATAGTGTAATTTAAGATAATAAGAGTAATGAGTTATGTGCGTTTATGTGATATGTGCCTTTAAGTGTTTTTCTGAAAGGGACCTTGTATGGGAGCTATGACCAGTTATGGACCGACCGGAAAAAACTTTTATAGTAATATTTCTGTATATAAGAGTAATACTTGTAGCACATTTTATATGGATATCTTAATTTAGTAATTTAGTTTATGAGTTAAGTGATTTTCGGGAGGGGACCTTGTATGGGAGCTGTGGCCAGTTATGGACCGGTCAGAAAAAGCTTTCATAATAATATTTCTGTATACAAGAGCAATATTTGTACCAAATTCTATATGGATATCTTAGTTTAGTAATGAGTTATGCTCGTTTAAGTGATTTTCGGGAGAGGACCTTGTATGGGAGCTATTTTCAATTATGGACCGACCGGAAAAAAATTGCACAGTAATATTTCTGTGCATATGAGCAATGCTTGTACCAAATTTTATATGGATATCTTAATTTAGTAATGAGTTATGCGCGTTTAAGTGATTTTCGGGAGGGGTTCTATAGGGGAGCTATATCCAATTATGGACCGATCCAGAAAATGTTTTCTCTGAAAGAATTCAATTGACATAATAGTTTATTTTGTAAAATTTTGTGAAGATATCAACATTCTGACGGAAGTTTCCGGGAATATGTACTTTTGTATGGGAGGTATATGAAATTGTGGACCGATTCGGGCAATTTCCAATAAGAATCAAGCTCTTGTGTAGAGACTAATGTATGATGATTTTCATGGAATTATCTTGCATAGTTTTCGTGAAAATTACATCAGAATGTGTAAAAAATGCTTATTTTTTCTAGGTTGTTTTAAATTCTGATTCATAACTTTTCCCGATGTGAACCGATCTATTGCTTCATTTTATCGTGAGCGTGTTTCACACAGACAGACGGACATAGCTAAATCGACTCAGAATTTGATAAGGGCCCAGAATATATATAGTTCGTTTGGTCTCAGATTAATATTTCTTGGTGTTACACACGGAATGACAAAGTTATATATATTCTCTATTACCACTGATGGTGTTGGAGGGTATAAAAATTTTAGAGGGACCAGATGCATTCGATTTTATTCTACAAAATGCCATCTAATTTTTGTAAAGAAAATTTGTTTTACTATTCTATAAATATTTAAATTGTTATGAATAAGGCCCTATAAATTTTTAGTTTTTACCAGTGTAACCTGGTTTTTACAATACATATTTACATTTTTAAATATATTTTAAATTAATTTTGCAGTTTGTATTCGTAACCAAACGGATTTAAAATTTTTCATTTATCATCCCAAAACCAATTTCTTATAATCATATTTATGAATTTTACTTTCAGATACATGCCCACATGCACTTCTAAATGACATAAATGTAATATCTAGCAAGGACTCCCACAATTTTATAAAACCTGAACAAGGACAATCTTATCCAAAAATCAACAGAGTTAAAAGAGCGACCGTTGTTGGAAACCCCATGTTTTCTTCTACTGCAGATGGACTTGTTAATGACACTGAAAGTTTAAGTTTAGATGATCTAGATATGGATTATGAACAAATTATGCATTATTTTGATAACTTAAAGGTAAGTTTGATAAAAACCTAAATTATTTGTTTCTAATAAACTGAGCAAAATAACAGACAAATTAAAAAATCGTATACTATATATATAAAACAGACTGTTTGTTTGTGTTTTGGTTACGCTTTCACGCCAAAACTGCTAAACCGATTTACATGAAATTTGGACCCCTAATAGGTCTAATCCCAAAAGGAACAATAGGCTATATAAGATCATGATCGGATGACACGCCCTTTCGAAAAACTATTATTACACCAATTTTGCAATCACATTATGCAAAAACTACTAAACCGATTTACATGAAATTTTGCATACCGATAGGTATAAGCTCGGAAAGAACTATAGGATATATATAAGATCTTGATCCGATGCCACGCCCCCTTCTACGCCCACTTTTTATAAAACGATCCTTTCTTATATCCTATCCTATAATTATATGAAAGAGACTGTCTGTTTGTTACGCTTTCACGGCCAAACTACCGAACCGATTTGCATGAAATTTAGAACACTAACAATTCTATTCTAAAGTGGAACAATATGCTATATAAAATAATTTTCATTCGAGACTTACAGAAAACTACTGAGCCGATTTACATGAAATTTGGTATACCGATAGGTCTGACCTGAGGAGGAGCTATAAACTATATAAGATCTGGATCGGACGCCACGCACCTTTTTACGCCAACTTTTTGTAAAACAATTATTGTACCAAATTTACGTTCAAGCATACAAAAAAGTACTAATACGATTTTCATGAAATCTGTTATGATGAATGTTAATACGACACATTACATCTTCAAAACGTATAATATATAATAATAAATATATATGAGACTCTTTTATTATTATATTGATTGGATGCTACGCACATTTTTATGTTCACTTTTAGAGTAACAGCTATAACACCAAATTTTTAGGCTAAATATAAAAAACATGAACCAATTTTCAAGAAATTTGGCTACGGACTGTGTATTTTTGGAATCAACTTTTTTATCTGGATTTTATGCTTCATGAAATTTTACATGACAATAGTTCTATCGTGGTTAGGTTAGTTTGAGGAAGATAATGTTTAATATATCAAATCCGAATAAATACATCTATACCACTAATTTCGAGCCTGTTATGATCTTAATGAAATGCAGTAACCTTTTTCCGTTCATTTTTTGTTACATTTATAATGCTCATGATATATACTTCTAATAGTATATGAGAATTATTATTTAGGTTGTTAGAATTTTAATCAAAAATATATTTTTATTTGAAAACTCTAAAATGTTTGCAGGTCCTTAACGTACTTTACGATTAAGTAAAATAAAAATCTGTAATTAATTTAATTCATTATCAAAAATCGATTTTTATTTAAAGCGTAAAATCGTTTGTAGATTCGTATATCCCATAACTTATATTACCGGAGCACTATTCTTATTTCAAAACTTGTAATCCGATGTATATCCTAAAAAAAAAACTATTTTAAAACAGAATCGGATGTAGTTTACTACGATCGAGAAAATAGCATATATACATTTTTATTGTTGTACACCCATATATATTACTACTATCACTTATATTTTTCACCGGAAAACTATTTTTATTTCAAAACCTCTAATCTGCTGTATATCCTCAGAAAATAACATTTTTAAAAGAGAATCGGATGTAGTTTCCTACGATCGAGAAAACTATAAACTATATTAGATCTTGAATGAATGTCTACGTTGCCACTTTTGTAAGCAGAATAAAAACTACTGAACAAAAGCCGCTCCTAAAAATTCTAAATCTACAAATCCATCTAGAAAATCATTCATATCTCCCCTTAAAATTTCTATTTATATAACTCTTTAAAAATGTACTTTAAATAACTCTCAATTCGAGAAAACAATAAAGATCCGTAATCACTCATATTTTCCATACAATTTGAGTTTTATATTAAACGTATAAAATTTAAATTTATTGTTAAATCGACATAACAATAAAAATCTGCAATAAGTTAAATAAACCATAAAAAAATGATTTTGATATAAATTCGGTTGCCATTTTTTAAATGCACATCAAATCTAAAAACCATGATATATATTTAACTACTCATTAGAGTGTCCTGAAAGACAGCACTTTTGCAAATCTTATATACATAGGTAGACCTCTCAAATGCATTGTTCATATAAAATATGAATAAATTCATCTTTCAAAATATTTTTATACTTTTAGAAAATTATCCACCAAAAATTCTGCACGTATGTAGCGCCGTATTTATTTCAAGCTTTTCAAATTAAATAATGATTTTGAATTATTCCAGCACACATTTTCCATTTACCATTAAAAAATTCCGAAATTTTTTAATTAGAGGAAGATGTGGATATTTTAATAAGTAAAATTATTTTGTCATATTTGACATTTAAACCTTTATTTCTTCGGATTTAATAAGTGGTGTCTAAATACATCCAAATCTTTAGTCTGGATGCATAAAAGCTAATGAATAAAAATAATATTTTTAAACATATTTTTTTATAAATGGATGTATTTTTGAGAAACAAAGACGAAAAAACGGTGGTTTTACTCTTTAATGAACAACTCAAAATTGTTTGTCAAATTAAAAGTATTTTTGTTTTCTCTGTCAAGATCAAAGATTCTTCATATTTTCCTAGGATAGAAAAAACGTAATTTTGTTCTTTTTAAAGGAATTTGAAATCAATGAACGCAAATTTTTCATGATTTTGTGCTGAATTTCTCACAATCGTTTCTGAGTTTTTTCAATTGCATGTACTTTTTCAAATGGCAAAAAAATCGCTTGAAAATTCGTACGGTTAATGGTACGTATTTTTGAAATTAATAAAATGCCCCCGAAGACTTTTGCCTCTTTACACCAGGAGCACTACAATTCAAAGTACGGTGTGACCTAATTTAAATTGAACAGTTCTTTATATTTACTGCACATGGAAAAAATAAAACAAATAATTGGAAAGTGTCCTTAGTTCCCATACATACATACATACATACATACATACATACATACATACATACATACATACATACATACATACATACATACATACATACATACATACATACATACATACATACATTCATACATACATACATACATACATACATACATACATACATACATACATACATACATACATACATACATACATACATACATACATACATACATACATACATACATACATACATACATACATACATACATACATACATACATACATACATACATACATACATACATACATACATACATACATACATACATACATACATACATACATACATACATACATACATACATACATACATACATACATACATACGTACATACATACATACATACATACATACATACATACATACATACATACATACATACATACTTCTCATCTCATTCCAAAACTTTTGCCTTCTTCTGCTCAAGTATAATGATTTTTTCTTTAGCGGAATGGTGAACTCTCCTCGGAGAATTAAATTAATTTGCTAATTTTGTACCTAGATTGCCACGTCATCTGCGTTGCCAGTTGACAAAATGATGTGGTTACTGGATGTTTTTTAGGCAATAGCTTGGAACCTTTGTAAATAATGAACGTTTTACTCATTAATAATATTCGTCCAATGAGTTTTTGGTTGACTTAAATCATTTCTAGAATGTCCTATTAACTTAAACTTTCAAATGAGTGAAACATTTCTCTGCTGAAAAAAAATAGTGCAGGAATATTTTTTGAACTAATAATTTAGTGTAGAAAAAATTATTTCACTAGGCTGTAAAAACAAATATTTTAACTATTTTTAAAATATTTTTAGTTAAAAATTTTAAATATCACTATCACTATTATTGAATGAGGCTTATATTTTTCAATTCATCACTAAACATAAAAAAAGTAGTGAATAATTTTGAACTACCACTAATAATTAGTGATAGTTAAAAATTAGTGCACTACCCCCATCTCTGATTATTTATTATTTTATGACTTATTATTTTTTATATTATTTATTTTTCAAAAAAAGTAATAAAAAAGGTAAAAAATATGTTTTAGCGAATATCTACTTATTATACATGTTATTATAATATGTATATAGAGAATTTAATTTCCTACATTTTGGTTGAAGAATATTTTTGCATATCAGTAGTTGTTTTCGAGCTATAGTGCATTATTTTTCCATTGCACTAATATTTTCAAATCTTAATATAGATTGTACCGATAACAAATTTGTCATAATGTTTACGTTATTCATAAAGCTAGGTACTCTGTTCAAAATTTCGTGCGAAATGCTGTCAAATTACATATAAAATATTTGGTTTTAAATATTTCCGAAATAATTTTGCAAAAGCAGTACTCTGTTCTTATTGTGAAAAACATTGTGAAATTTATCTGGCAGCCTTGCTTTCCAACTCACGAAAAAAGATAACTAGCACTTTCGGATAGACTGGCCAGGGATGGCGAAACTTGTACGATGGTACTTTTTATGATACTATTTTATGCTCAAAAGTACCCTGATACTCCCAAGTCTTATTTCATACTCTCAGGGCCACAATGTCAATATACGATTATCGTTTAATCGCTAGATAATCTGCCGGTTAAAATAATGTTTGTGTGAAAACTTTCAATATTTCGATTCGATCAAAAATAAGAAGTCATTGAGAAAATGGGATCCAAATTGTCTTATTTTTGTTGTACTTATTTTTATCTTAATTGACATTATATGAATATTAATCTAATTAAAATTTTATTCTTAATATATTATGAGAAATTTACCATTTCAATTTTAAAAAAATATTTGACTTTAAAACAAATGATTTCCAAATGATTGAAACTTGAAGGATTCAAAACGATATGTTTTGAAATTAAGCATTCAAGCAAAGATAATATAAGAAGTTTCTGGTCAAAAATATTTGGACTTTAAAGCAAATTTTGAATATGACATATTCAGAATCGGACATACGAGTAAATGTCCTATGTAAGGTCTCATGTCATGGACCGCAATGTGTAGAATTTGATTTGACAATTGATTTCTTAAAAAAAGAACACCTACGTCGGATTTTAATTTAATAACACATATTTAAGCGATTTATTGACAATAAACAATCGATACTAGCAAAAATTATATTAGTACTCTCAGATTCAAATCTTTTCCATTCCTGAGACTGACATTGCACTATGAGACAGAGGGTGGTGCTGTGATAATGGATGTAACAGAAATTAATTATGTAGCTTTTTACCTAATACTAGAATGAAAATTGCAACATATATCTGTATTAGCGTTAAAAATATTAAGATTTGAAAATATCATTGCTATGAAAAAATAATGCACTATAGCTCAAAAACAACTAATACTATGCAAAAATAGTCTTTAACTAAAATGTAGAAAATTCAATTCTATATAGAAATTGTTATTATTGAGATATTCGTAAAAAACATACTTTGTGCATACAAGTGAATTTTTCATTAAGCATTAAAATTTCATTACCATTTATAGAAAAAATTTTAATGAAAAATATTTTAAGTACCATTTAATGAAAATTATATTTTTTTCATTATAACTTATTATCATAAAAGGTAATGAATTTGATAATGAATTTTCAAAAACAAATTTAATTAGTATTTATAATTGTCGAAAAATATATTTGATAAGAATTCAGGAAAATTTTTGAAGGATTAGAGCACAGGTTTGAAAGCTTTTAAAACCAGTTCCCGTAGCCCAAATTAGCTGAAATTTAGCAGTCATAAGTACCTCTGATGACAATTAGGAATTATGTTCGAAAATTCGAACTCGTGTTCGAAAAATTTTTAATGCTGTTAAAACTATTTCTTCTAGTCCGAATGGGCTGAAATTTGGCATGCATGATTTCACTTAAATACATTATAATGTTCGGATATTCGAAATTAATTTTAAAATTCCAACTAATGTTCGAATATTTTTAAAATCTATTGAATAATGGTAATGAAAATTTATTTTTAATAAATAAAATAATTACTAATGAAATCGTTGAATTAAAAAGCATTACCATTAGACAAAATAATGCTAATGAAAAAAAAAATAATTATAATTTTTTTTTCAATTTAATGCTAATGAAATCATCAATTAATTAGTCAATATAATTGACTACTCCCATGTATGCTTTTGTGACCTTTTACCGCCAATATCTCGCTTAGCGCACATGATATTTATGGAGTCTTTTAATAAATTTTTAATAATGGTAAGGAGAAGCTACGTGCCAATTTTCATTTATCTATCTAAAATTCCGTAGCAAAATTTATTTTCCCCGGGCTATTATTATTTCTGCCAACAAAAATAAAATATATATATAAATGTTCAAAGAAAAATTATCCGGAAAAAATAATTATTTTTTTAATTAAAGTCATAACTGCTACTGTCCCTGATATCCTAACGTCTTATTTGGAAGATATTATTATTTTACACAGAAAAAAATAATACATTACTGGAATGAATTTTGTAATAAATTGTATGAATCTAACATGACTTTTTTCCCAAACCGTTTTCATTCAGAATATTAAAAGTTCATAAAATGTATGAATTTGTACATAAAAGATTTTTTTTTTTTGTTTTTTTTTTACTCATTTTCGTTGATTTTCATAAAAAAATTTAATAAATATCCGTTACCTATTAACCTTACCTTTTTTTAGAAAACAATCACATATTAGCAAATTTTTATGATAAAAAAATAAAAATATTGGAAAACAAAATATGATCCATCCATTCTTCAGAAAATTACGCGCATATTTCATTGTTTTCAATCTAAAAATCATAAAGAAATGAAAAAATTCATACAATTTAGGAACTTATTTTTAAATATTATTAACTTTAGTCAATGAAAGCTGTTCATAATATTTATGCTTAATCTTTTTTCTGTGTAATCACAATAATTTTTTATTTTTTTCTCGTTTCAGGAATCAAATGCCTGAGTGCTGAATATTATTATTACAATTAAACAAATTTTACATAATTTCCATCAGCAATATAATATATGTACCGAAGCTAGTCTAAATCTCCAATAACCCACAACAACAAAATGGGCGCTTAAAGAAAAGTTATATTATGAATCCATTAAAACTCATTAATGTTACATTTAAAAACAATTCGTATACATAAATACATACATATATTACCATATATATAAATTGTAAAGCATAATTCATTTGTTAATACATAAGATAGTTTGTGTGATGTCTATACAGTCTGTATAACCAAAGAAAAAGTATATGTATGCAATAATACACTGATATTAATTAACTATATATTAAACACCATAAAATGTCAAAATTTATTTTTTCAAAATCTGATCCTACAAATGGGACCATCTATATCTAATCTTAGATTTTAATAAAATTTAACACATACTATATTACGTATTAAAAATGTTAATCAAATCAACGACTTTTAAATTGGAATCCCGTTATGATTCAAATGTATCGCGTATTAAAAGTATCATAAATTTTTTAAAATTGTATACACACTATATTGTCCGTAACTTTGAAACTACGGAAAGTCCAACATAATTTTGGATTTAATTTTAAAGGCAAAGTTTTAACTTATTTCAACGCTTTTAACATCTGCAATAAGGACATTAACTTTACTCTAGTTTTATTATGTATATAAATCACAGATTTTGTTGAATACTGTGTAGTTTAAAAGTTAAGGCAAATTATGTGTATATATGTATGTACTTTTAGAAAATTGTAACATAGATATTTTAAATTTTCAAATCGCAATATTTTTAAACCGGAATAAGTTTGCATTCAAAATATCATTGATATAAGAAAAACTTTGTATGTATAATGTGTGTGTTAAATTTCATTAATAACGGAGATCGTAAATCCAACTTTCACATCGTTTCTCCCAATTTGAAAACATAAAGGGTCATTTTGCACTAAAAGGTCATAACTTCTTTTAAGTATCAAGAAATTTTAAATTTGATTAAGAAAGATATTAATCTGTTGTCAAATTGAACAAATACTTTTTTACTGTTAGCGGAAAATCTAGACATTTTTTAACAGCGTCTGAAGATATCTAGATATCAATATTTTATGCATAAAATTAATACTCTTTTAAAAACGTTTAAATATCAAGACTGCTGAGAATGAAACCATTTAAAGAATTGGAAGAAATTGCATTATATGTTTCAACACACCTTTGAAAGAGTGTTAAGCACAGAAGTATTTTAAATAAAATTTAGTTAATGCTAATTTTGTATATGTTATTATCGGACCTGTCATACATTAATTTTTTTAATCCCATAGTTATTATTCCAGTCGATTTTGTTTTAACATATATAAATTCCGATTCATATTATTAATGTGCAAAATGTTTATATTAAATTAACAGTGTTTTGCGTATAAGGTTTTGATTAATGAAGGTTTTGATTAATACATAAAGAAAATTCAAAATGACATATTAATTTAAATTTAATACTTGTTATTAAAAACTAAAAATGATTTCATTCGTTTTCTGTAGAAGCGAAATACGGAAATAAATCCATTTACGATCGGAATGCAGTTATCTATTATTCCGGTATATTTCTGGCGGTTTTTATAAAAACAAAATTCGGCGTTTTAGCTAGTTTTAACAGAGGGATATCCTACCTACGAGTCAATTTCGAATGCTTTTTTAACGCTAGAGAAAAAGTGGCAAAAAAGTGGTACTTTTTTATGGCCGATGTGGAAAAATTGTATTACATCTTACGGTTGATTTTTGTTATTTGAAGAATAGTAAAATTATATCAAACTTTCTAAATCATTTTACTAAACACTACATTTTTGAGTTATGACCCTTTAACTGCAAATGAACATTATAATTTAAATTAAATATTTTTAGTTTAATTTTATTTCTATGTGCATTCTTATTTAAAAAGGTGTTTATATTAAACTTTCGTGAAATGTTATTCCTGTATATATGTATTTCATGAATTTCGATACAATATGTTGAAAAGCTTTTCATATTCTTAAGAGCAATGATTGCAACCATTTCCACTTAAATACCTTTTCAGCTATACTTTCGTTAGGGCTAAACTAAAATAGCGTTACCGTTGAATTTTTTTTTATTTTATGTAAAATTTCATATTAGTCAAGTAAAGATTTCCTGCTTTTTCCAAACTTTTGAATTTATTTTATTTAGATTTACGGTTGCCTTTTCACTATTAAATCCTTTATTAGGTTTTCATCAGTATCTAAAAAAATTATTTTAAATTTGAGATTAATCACTTTTTTATTTACATATTTGTCATCTGTGAAACTTTTTAAATGTAGAACATCTTTTTTTCCAAGCTCTTAATATTTATTTTAAAATGTCCGTAAATAGGGAAAATTACCTATAATGACATCTACTTTTTTAAGCAGTTCTAATTTACATGCAATTATTTATATTTCGTAAATTAGACACATTTGTTATTCAAAATAGAACCAAAAAATAAAGTTGTTAAAACACAGCATTATCAAAAGATTGCACGATTCTATATATTATCGTTTCATTATTAGTATTATTATTATTAAACCTGTTTTACTCATTATATTATATTTTTATTGAATTTAATACTTGTTATTAAAAAATTTGCGACATCACACAATAAATGTATCAAGAAGCTAATTTTAATAATGATCATAACATAAATAGTTGTAATAGTTTATTGCTTTAGAGCTTATGAAAGTAATTATAAGATATATATTAAATATGGTTATGTTTGTTTATTTCATTCCGTTCAATTGTTTAAATATGTGAATGTTTCTCTAAAGGAGGTTACATTGGATCATATTATTGGAGTGTTTTTAAATATATTTAACAATATTCAATTTAAATAAGGTAACATATTAGGGTGGCAATGAGATGTATGTCTCTTTTTTTCAGGTTGATTATACTCGTATAGATTATTTGTGTCACTTGATTAAAAACTCACATTCTAAAAATTTGAGTAAATTCGTTTACAAGGAAAAAACTGACTTTTTTAGTTTAATAAAAAATAACCTATTAAATCACGATTTATACATATGTCTAAAAAAGAATCGGTTGAAAATTTTTTATGATATTAAAATTTGTTCGCTAAATAACACATATAACTAGTTTTTAGAAATGTAATTTTTATATCAACCAGATTAAAAATTATGTGATATGAACTTTTGTATAAATGGGAAGACGTTTACTTATTCCAATTTATGGCTAAAAAGAAAAAAAGGCCATTTATAACATTTTCAAATCTCTATATTCAGTAATCTTCACATTATGTTAAACGGATTTATTATTCTACAGGCTTGGGAGTAATCATTACATTTCCAATTACAATTGCATTTGAAGTAATTATAATTGAAACATTTCCAATTTTAATTACTTGTAATCGCGAAGTTTTCCCTTATAATTAAATGTAATTTGTAATTAGTAATACCTAAATTACAATTACAATTAATTGTAATTGGTAAACTTCAATTACGATTACAAGTAATTGTAATTGGCATAACTTCAATTACAAGTAATTATAATTGGTTATTACACATTAGAAGTAATTGTTATTGGCAAAACTTCAATTACACATTACAAGTAATTGTAATGACCATGTAATGAATTACTTTGTGTAATCATTACCCTTCAAGCCTGATTGTTAGTTTATTTTGATAAAATGGACGCAATTATGTTTATTTTTACTGAGTCCACAGAAATGAATTCTTATAGTTTTTCTGGATTCGAAAAACTTAAACCCTTTGAAAATTTGATTTTTGGCTATTAGGTATTTTTTATTGAATAACAGCATATTAATTGATGCATTTTGATGAATCTGATTTTATTAAATCCGTTAATCATAACATTTAAATATTTGAAAGTTAAGATTTAAGGTAGCTTTGGAAATTATTTAACTTCGTTAGCCATGTGCATGTAGTATGTTCGAATAAGTAAACGTGTTCCTATTTAGAATAAAGTTTAAACCAGAAAAGTTTAATTTTTGGTTATACAAAGACTTTATTGTGGTGTCAAATTTCCTAGAACGAGTAAATTTCATTCCTAAAATTATATTTGCATGTAATTCGTTTTCTAACATTGACCTCAGTGGGGTACGGTATAGCAATTTTTGCTAAAATTGAATTTGATCAAGTGACATAATAATCTGTACCCTAGTACAAATATTGTATTAAAAATTTTTAGTTTATTGAAATATATTTGTTTTCAATGCATAGCAACTACTTTGTTCCAATATACCTCCTTCATTCACTGTATTTTAAAACCATTTTATTTTGAATTGTTCCGTCCAAATACATACATACATATATTTATTTTAAATTTGTTTTTAGCACAAAGATCCTTACCATAGCATTTCGATAGAAATAGTTTCCTATCCTTTACTAATCTTTTACATGGACAACAAACTTTTACAACTTTTTTCGTTTAATTTCAACCTTTAAAAATAAAAACAACAATGGAAAAATGGTATTCCAAAAAAAAAAAATTAATCGTAAAAAAAGAAGAAACAATTAGATTTCGTTTAAATACTTTACGATTGTGTGTATTCTGCATTACGGTCGTAGCTATGTTTTTGTAAGTTGTTTATGAGGCGGAGAGTCGAATAGAAATGCAGAATACCAAAGTTGCCAAACGGAGAAAATTTCGATTCGAATTGAAATGCAGTATAGGGGTGATTATCCTCGAATTTTCGGGAAAATGTTTTGAAGTTTTTTGAAAGAGTAAAATTCTTTCAAGTGTGTTGAATTCACACAGAATGAGAAAAGCGTATTATTATTGTTGTAAAAAATTACAGGGTTTCATCAATAATTTGCTAATAATCTCCATTATTTGGATATTTAAAAACGTTTATACATACGTATTGATCATAATGTTATAAACGTTTTGTAGAATTTCATTTCATTTAAGAAAAATGTAAAATTTTTATGGAAGTTTATTTTTTTAAACAAAAAATAATTGTTTGACGTTAATACTCGATTCGTTCAAAATTTAAGTTGTCACTTCTAAATATGTATATTTTTCAATTAAGTTGTCATCCTTATTTATTAATGTATACATGTATATGTATATTATACATATCTTTCATGTTAACAATTCTAATATTTCACTTATATTTGTTGAATATTGTTTTAGTAATTTTACATAAAAGAAAAAATACACAGTTTTTTGAATTTTGACGAGACTTTGACATATGTATATCTCTACATATATGTATATTTCCGTCCGATGATCA